AAAAGGACTTGTTCATATCTAATTCTAATAACTATGATACATGTTGCTTTTATACAAATCCAAGATATAATTTCTAGGCTATACGAATTCATGTTCGTTATATCACTTAAATTTTATTAGTTCAATATTCGTTCACTCATTTGTTTAGTTATTTATTTGTTCGCTCATTTACTTGTTCATTCACTTGTTCATTCACTTCACATGATTTGATCTTTATCCAATAAGATATAAGATATATATTATGACAAAAGGTCATTATATAACAGTACTGATATTTTATAACAACCTAGTTAAGTGTTCAGTAATATGTAATAAAGATAAGTAGTATAATAATATTAATTATAAAATCAATTAATGTACAATTTCATTAAACAATAAATAAAAAGTAATTTATTGACTAATTAGATTTTGTATTAATTAATTGATACCTTTCTTAGACTTTAATTATGCTTTATTTATATTAAATATTTTCCATTAATAAATATTATATTATCAGATAATTATGTATTTATTATTAATATTATAATTATGATATATATAATGTATATAAAATATATAATATTGATAGAGTTTGTGGAGTTTGTGAAGTTTATAGAGTTTATATGAGAATTATAAAATTATAAGAATTTCTAATTATAATAATGTCTTTTAAAAATTGATTAATTCATTCAAAACTTATTGATATGATCAACAAAAACTAAATATAGTATAGATTTTATTAATATAATTTATAAACAAAAATTACTACTCAAAATAGTAAATTTACTCATTGTTAACTCAAAAGTTATATCAAAATAAAATAGAATAAATATAATATATATATAAATAAAAAATATATAAAAAAATAATAATAATAGTAAGAGCTTTCAAATAAGAAAAATTTTTAAAAAAATAAAGAAAATTTGAATAATCAAGATTCTGTTAGAGTTAATAGCATGTAAAAAATTTATATATTTTATTTACTGCCTTGTTTAATTATTTAAAAAAGTTTACAGCTTCTATTTTTCTTTTAAAAAATTATTATTTAATAAAGAGTATTTTCAATTTTTGTTTAATAAATTCAAATTTTAATAGTTTTAGTATTTTATTTAACAAAATTCCAGTGATTATTAACAGAGTTTGGTAAGTATTCTTAGTTTAAACTAAATATATATTTTTTTACAAAATAAAACCAATAATTTATTATTTAATAAAAAATGATTTTTAAATTAAAAAAATTCAAATTTAGATTTTATTTTTAAATTTTGGAAATATTCAATGTTTTGATCCTTTTTATTTATTTTATATAATTATAATAGAATGAGATATTTATTGTGTGTGGATTATAAATGATAAAGAAAATTATAGATTAGATTTTCAAAAAATTAGTACAAATAGCATTAATTTATATTTGGTTTTCTATTTCTGGTATTGATATCGAAAGAAGTTTTAGTGATTGTAAAAATATTTTAATGATCGTAGTAAACATGCATTATCAAAAGAAATTTATTGCAAGATCTTTGCGTCTGAAAGTTGCCGGATTTTTTAAAAATCGATTAATGCAGTATTAGGACACGTTAATTTAAACGAATCGTCAGAATTTCAGTTACGTCGTAGCTGTGCATGACTTTCCTTGAAACACCAATATATATTTAATCATGTTAGTTATTCAACCTATTTATTTAATAGTATTATTATCATTATTATTATGCTATGTATATAATATTATGTATATAGAATATATCTATTCACAAGAAATTTTTTGTATAAAAATGAAGATGATGCTTTTTTTTTTAATTTAAATAATAAAAATCAAAAGTAACTATTTTACATTTACATCAAAAGAACGCAGCCAGAACTACTAATATTAAAAAGGGGTTGGTAAAATGAAAAAAATGATGAAGGGTTTTTGGGAGTATCAATATTATATGTATATATATAGATGTTTAAATGGTGGATGGCTGCTGATCTTGAAGATTGCCCGAGTTTTCATCAACATCACCACTAATATTCGTAGCAACGCCAACGCCTCCATCGTCTCCTGAATTGTTGCCTGCATTTTTGTGATTATCACTACCAACAACAGCTTCATTGTTGCTGCTGCTATTATCTTCTTTCATAGATTCATCTTCGGTGTTCTCGGTGACAATAATAATATCCTCCTCATTAGCTACTAATGATGTTGTAGTAGTTATTATGGCCGATGGTACTTGACTTTTCAGTTCATCAACTAAAAGAATAATTTTCTCGGATATAACAGCGAAACTTTCAAATTGACTCTGCTGATCCGAAGATAACAAATATTCTTTGAGCTTCTCGAGGCTTTCTATAAATGCATGCCAGAGTGGATCTTCTGCTGATGGTGACATAAAATCAGTGGGAGTCAAAGTGATATCCAATACTTGAAGCACCTATTATTAAAATTATATTCGATTAGATGTTGATTGCGAAAATATAATACTATGAAAATAAATATTTACTGCAACTAGTTGTTCAAGAATCGATCCAACCAGCTTCACATCATTAGCTTCTAATCGTTCCTTTAAAACTTTTACATTGATGACCAGTTGCTGAATATGTTTAGATATGATTGGTTGGATCAGATCGACTTTTCTACTCTTTACCTAATAAAATCGAAAGAGATTTTTTAGCTTTAGTTATATCATCGAACCGAAAAAGATTGCAATGTATTTCACGCAACCACTTACAAATTGAGTCAAAGATTTTAACGACTTCAGTTGTTGTTGCGAAAGCTTGAGCAATATTGATAGATTAGAATTGAGAATATATTCCACTATTCTCGCAACATGGATATTAATAAAAGCTTGTAATATTTGATCGTTTTCCGAAGTCTTGTCGAACAGATCAAATAGCGTGTAGAGTGCGAATTCGCCTTGGAATTCCATCATTTCTACCGCGATTAACGAGCCTATTTATTATAACGTCAGAAAATCGATCAAATCAATTAATTAACTTATACTTTTTTGCATATTGTTTATGGGTAATCATCAATAACTTACATAGTTGAACCACTTTATCGTATTCGTGTAGCCTGCACCCTGCATCGATAGCGTGTTTCACGATCGTCAGGTAGGGCGAATACAATTCCTCCTGTAGTGATTGAATTTCTAATGGTAGTAGTTTATGCAAGAATGGCTTGTACACGTGTATCGAAGGGTAATTAAAGGAAGATTTATTCGTCCCCCCAGTTTTTAGGTCAGGGAGCAATTGATATTTGTTAAAGAGGGAGTGGTTGCCGCCAAAGACTAATAACAGATCTAATAAAAAAATAAGGAATAAAATTCTTTATAAAATTCCAATCTTTGTTGTTACAAAGATAGTTTTTTACCTCCTTCAATATGTGACGTCTTTTTGTTCCATTCCGCGTGACTGGATACCATTGCATCTAGTATATCACTAACGGCATCAGATATGTATTCGATTTCCAATAGAATACTTAGTATTTCTAAAGACGCATAAATATTAGCAAAAAAATCAAAAGTGTGAAAATATCACCAGAATATATTTTTGCGTTGTTTCGACTTGCCTGTTACGCGAATGTATATTTGATTTTCTGTGTTTGGATGCAAGAAACTCAATAGAGTGCGAACAAAGTTCTTTTGATGGGTCCATGATTTAAAGGATGACTGCACTAAAGACACAAATGCGTAATTGTCCACAATCCATATTAATTATTTCCCAGAAAAATATAATTAACGCCAATATTTCGATGATTGTTAATTCTTACATTCTTGATCATTTTGATTACGGGATGAAGCGGCGACAACTTTTTTGAAATAGCAGAGTAACACGTCCAAACATTGGAACAAGTTTTCGTCACTAGGGTTTTTCTCTTTGACCGAAAAAATATACTAAAAATATCAAAGTAAAAACAATCAAATTTATCGGCTGATACATTTGCAAATTAATATTAAAAACAAACTTTTATTACCTGAGAGAAATAATCTAATCCGTAATACTTGCAAAATATCAAAAAATCTTCAATTGTCTCCCGATAAAGGAAGGTGTGCAGTCTTTTTTTTTTTTTTGAGAATAGGAATATTGCAAAATAATTTAATTGATCAATCAATATTTTAAAGAATTGATATATAAAAATGATGAATGAATTAATTAAAATATTTTCTTTCATACTTTAAATAGTAGGAAATTTTACGTGCAGAAACGGATTGTCCGACACTCAAAACACTATCCCAACATTTTATTCTGAACTCGACCGATTTATCAGCACTAATTTTCAATAATTCTATAAGCTCGTCTGTTTTCTGTTGGTTGTTGTGAAAATCAAATCAATTTAATTTATACCAAAAAATCAAGATCAAAAATTAATTTGCCATGTTTTTAATTAATGTTCAACTTAACATACATGATCGTCATAAAAATCGCCCCATATCATATTATGCAAAGCCCAAGTGAAATTTGCAGCATCCATCCAAATGGCGTGGTACTCGGGCGATTGCTGACATGCCATCAAAATAATACCATAATATTTAGGTAAAGTTGCTTGATTATACGCGATATTCTCTGCATTGTGATTGATGCTAAACAAAAAATATAAAAAACAGAAGTTCAGAAACGAAAAATTACCGATAAATCAACAAACAAATATGGAATGTATAAATTAAATTGGCTTTTACCTCACGTAGTACATGTGCATAGCTTCAATTATGTTATTCGGGTTCTTTACGTATAAAGCTACATTCTCTGGACATCCACTGCACACTTTATGCCAGAAAATAATCATTTCCTATTATTTATTAATAATAATTTTAGTTTGTAAATCTTTTACATATACATACATCCAATATAATTGTGAATACCTTTTTGTCCATATCAGAATCATGTCTTACATTATCGACGCTAATAAAGCACGTTATGAATTTATCAAAGTAAGGAATAAACTGAAAATTAAAAAAGTTAATAAAAGATTTGAAAACGATACAAAGAACAAAAAATGAAAGAGCAACTAAACCAACCGCAAGCTTGTCTTCATTCGTAATGATACACTTCGTCAAAACCCTGAAATAATTGCTTAGTCTCCATCCGTATAATTCTATATCAACAAATTATCCTCAATAAAAAGTTACACTCAAGCGATCATCATAAAATCTGCCAAAAAATACAGACCTTTGCGATGGTGTGTTATTTTCCAGCAACTCTCACAACGGTCCAAATTCTTTAACAGTACCTCGTAAAGTTTACGAATCGCTTCTTTGTGTGTTTCGTCAAGAGTTTCTTTCACACGATGAAATATTAGTATATCACATAAACTTTCTGCATGCTGTCGGATTGTTTCGTAGGGATTGTCGAGAAGAAAACTGGGTAACCATTGTCCCATGTGAGTTGAGAGCAGATCTTGGACATAAGATCCGATATCGGACACAATTAAATATTCAATGAAACGAAGACATTCACCAGCAACAGAGGGCGTATTTGGGTGATTGTTTGACAGCTAAATAATTATAAGAGAAATTTCAAATGAAAATGTAGACGATCGAAGAAATAAATCAATATATACTATATTTTATACCTTCAATACATATTGGATTGCATGCCGAACTCTGAATTCCAAATGGAAATCTTTAATTTGAGTCAACACATAAACTATCTCCAAATAAGCCTTGACGTGATGATCGACCGGGTAAGAATCCGCAGCGCGAAATAGTTGTTCTATTAACTGCTCGGACAACCCTTTATCGTTGGTAGCAAAATGTGTAAAGATATCACGCGAGGATGCAAGATCGACATTATCCCGAATCTGCTTCATGAAGAAGATTAATTCGTCGTCTGTTTCGCTACGTTGAAGAATAAGACGTAGATCTTCTTCGTTTAGTTTTAGACGAGCTTCAGTTCCTGATATTTCGGTCGTTTGCTCAACGGTGCACGGTGCATCGCAGGCGGTAATTAAAATTGCTAAAGTAGCTAATAAATTTCTGAATGTAGGAAGAGAAAATTTATCGCCCATTCTTCGTTTTCTTCCTTTTAATGGAGATATTTCGTCCAATAGGAATAACTTGACCAATTCTCCTACAAGACCACAGTTGATCATGTACACTTTTTCAGGAATTCCCAAATGTGCTATTTGTGAGAGCAAACAGAAATATTGATCGAAGTTTCTCCAGTAATGAGAAGCATTGTTAAGCAGAAAAAATAATGCATCACAGAACTCCACTATAAGGCTATTATTCGTTTGGAGGGATTGAGCAATTTGTGAAGTAGAGTCGACGCTCATTCTAGTGTCGTGGTTTTCATCGATCACATGATCTGTTGTCATAACTAATCCATATACATTTGGGTCTCCTTGGCGAAGAACTCGCAACACGAACAATACCAAGTCGACGACGTGCTCTCTGACTTCTGGCACATAGCAAGACATGAAAATCTGTTGGGCATAATTGGGATGTTTTTCAATAAACCGTTTAATGAACCATCGACACCCTATCAAATGAGTTTGGAAAAGTGTTTTGAGGAAATCAATCCACTCCTTTAATTCTAAATTTTCTTTAGCGCGACAAAATGTTCCTAAAACAAATTCGCTTGCTAGCTGTATAGTCCGAAATGTCAGATCATATTCATCATTGTCAATGATGATACGATTATCTGCGTCGAAGTCGACCGAGTGGAGAACATTCCACATCAAACGGAAATATCCAACATCAAATATATTTTTGTCTTGCAGGAAACCTATATTTTCATGCCAGATGCCTGTATAAATGTCCTCTGGAATCTTCGAGGTTGCCTCTTTTCCCGAAACAAAATTATTATCATTTTGACTGTCGTCACAGCGTTCATAGAAAAGCATATATGCACTATAAGGTTTCGCGAAAGTGCGAGTGACATTCTTTTGTGTGTTTGGATCCCAGTTTGTCATGTATTCGGAACCACCATAACAGCATTTTGGAATATCTTTGGGATTGAATCCTTCGACATTCGAATCATTGAATTGATACCATTTTTGTTCATTCGAACCATCCGGATGCAATGGTTTCCTTTCTTTAATAAATGAATAGTAATGTCCAGAATCTGCGGATCCAGTGTGAACAAGCACTCCGACGAGCTGATACTCAAACTGGCTTTTATTCGTGTCATCAGAGTTCAGTTCTTCAAGCTGGCCTGATTCTTTTTGCATTAGATAGTCCAAGGTGTATGGTTCCATATTTATGCGGTCCGGAAATTCAAATTGTTCATTAATTTTTACGCGTTTGAGTGATTCCATGTCAAAATCAAATCTTTTCAGATGTAGTATGAGATTGTTTGGTAGCGTCTTTATACAAGCCCTATAAAATGGGTGAAATTGGTAAACTTCATAAAATAATTCTAATGAAAATTTACCGAAATAAGTTAAAGAAAATTTGTTGTAATAACCTTTTTATTGCATCCACTTTTCGGCCACACATCTCGCAGTAATATTTATTGTCTATGAAATAAATGTAAATTTAGCCAAAATCTAATTTTTTTAATTATACAATTGCATACTTAATTACCTCCATCCATGATTTCGCCTTCTACGTAAAGCTGCAAGCTTTCTTCTATATTTTTCTTATTTTTGACCTCGCACTGAATATTAAAGATTGGATCCTCGCGCTCCGAGACATGCTCACATTCACGCGACTTGATTTGCTGGACAAGCGTTCCGCCGAAATGATTCTTAAAGAGCATCTCTTGCGAAGTACCAGACACGCTAGTCTCCAATCGGTCAAACAGCCCATTGAAATATTCATCCACATCCATTTGAACAGCAACATTCATTGGTCCACCATCGTAGTCTTTATAGGATTGACAGAATGGAGTCGCTTCGTATGCTTTCTTTTGACTTTCTTGTAAATGGCCAAAGACAACTTGTAACTGATAAAGCAAGCTTTCGTCTTTATTTTCATCTCGGACAGGCGCTGAAAAAATACCATTGCGAAATGAAGGATTCATAAAAAATTGTTGGACAATGGAGTTGACATAGCATGTTGCACCGAGGTTTTGTAATCCGACGTAACCGGAATTTGCTTTGGTGCAAATTTGCGGGCAGTAATTCCAATTGTCATTTAATTGATCACCACGATCGAGCTGTCGTAATAACAAATTTGTTAGATGGATGAAATTCTCAGGGCAACCTTTTACAAGCTCGAGCAGTAATTCCATTGCAGCGGTTCGTGATTCGACAAATTTGCATTTTGGTGGTACGTATGTGCAGCCTGAATATTCCATTGTCGGAATTTCGAAAAGACAATCATCAAAGATCATGTCTATCAATCTATTCGAACAAAATAGGAAATAAATAAATATCGAAAAAAATATAAACATCCCGATTCAAGTAAAATAAATACCCCTCATTATACGGAGTCGTGGATTTGAATTTAGGATATTTTGCCATAAGAACTGTCAATGTTTTCATAAGACCGATGATCAAAGTGTCATCAAAGTTACTATGAGATTCCTAATAAAGGATAGAAGCAAAAAAAAATTAAAAAGATAATATTTTGAAACTGCCCATACTTCGTTATTATTATATTCACCTCACTATGGTAGGCTACTTCTTTAATAGGATGATTCTTAATATGATGAATCATTAAATCAAATAGTTTGCCGACGTCAAAATTAATCGGAGCTATCATTGACTTTAATAAGCTTCCCAGGAGGCCGAAATACTCTTTGCATGTGTAAACGTGTTGTTCAAGTTTAGGTAATATAGAAACAAGAAGTTGTAGGAAAAACTCGAGGGAGCGTGAATGCGGAGATGATGATAATGTTGTTTCTTGAAGCCCAAGCTCGATATCTTCGGGTATACAAAACTTTTCGATCAGATTTGCGAGCTCTTTTCTTGCTTCTTCAGACTGGCATTGGACTAGTCCCATGAGGAGCCAATTACCTAGGCCTGGGTAAGCGAAAAGGCTTTGGAGGGCGGATTCGTCTCTCATGCATAAACAATACAGCAACTTGTTTGCGTATTTGATTATGATGACGTCTTCGTCAACTATTAGGAAAAATACACAATTAGTGTTTAAAAAAGCGTCCAGAAATTTAAGTAATTAATAGAGAACAGAATAATAAACACCTTGCTTTAAAGAAGGATCGATGCACTTTCCGACTATTTCAAGCAATCTAGAAATTAGATCACTTTTGTCGATTCTCATGAAGAATTGTCCGTCCATAGTTGAATTTTCTATAATTGATAATGTTGGACACGTCTTTCATTAATTCAATTAACACCTTTAAAAAATATATATGAGAAATTCGGATGTATACAAACCACTACTAATGAAATAGTCAATGACTTTAAGCAAAAGACCTAAACAAGCTCGTTTTATTACGCTTTTTTGGTGTTCAATCAAAGCATTTTCTGAATCATTAGTGGTTTGATCTCGCTTGATAAGAATCGCAAGTAAATGATCGTGCCCTCCATTTTCCATGAATTTCCGGCTCCACTCAAAAGCACTCAATTGTTCATCACCACCTCTCAGCAGCCAGTCGACAATTTGCAAGGCATAAAGCAAGCGGAATGGAGATTGGCTATCTAGTAAAGTGTTCCATTCGACAGGAGCTTCCAAAGTTTTAAGGCTATTCAGAATTCTAGTGTTGGTTGGAAGTCGCATAAGCAAATCCCAAATCTAACATATTTAAGGGTTAAGATTGATCGTATTGGTCGAAACATTGTAATTGAATTGTCTAATGAAATTCAAAGTCAAACCTGAGATGCGTATTCTTCTTCGAGTTGCAACATAACAAAGAATTGGTCAACGTATTTTGATAAGATATTGACAGGCATATCAGCTTCATTGACCTATAAGTAATGATTGTAATGATATTTGTGTTTTAAAGAAAAATAATATTATTAATTGAATAGATAATAAAATTATTTACCTCCTCGTTTGCTTTGGGTTCGAGTTTCTCTGTTTCTTGAGCATCTTCCACTTCACTCCTCCTTCTTATACAAATAAATACAGCGCCATCGTTTATTTTAAGTTCTTGGAAAGTTGATCCATTTGAGTCGTGATGATATTCTTTTCCGCCTGTAATTAATCGGATTACTCCGGGCTGGGAAAGTTTAATCTTTGCACCAATTTTATGACGCAAAGCTAAGATAGTCTCTGACGTGTGCATCGGAAATTCCATTTCTTTTGTTTCCTAATAAGAAATAAATGCCAGGAATTTAAATTAAACGGAACAATAAAGAAATAATTTCACACTTCGTTCGTTCATGCTTACAGCTCCTTGAGAAAGTTTGACTTTGATGGTAATCATTTTCCCATCATTCAACATTCCATGTCGTCTTACAAGCATTTGACCTGATTTAGTAGACATGTACTTTGTGTCAAAATAATCCATAAAATATTTTAGCATTTCGAGGCATCGCTTGAACATCAAGGCATCTCGTGTTTTACGACTAGTGAAGGTGTAATTTCCAAGATCATGAGCATCGTCACGTTGATCTAAGCTTTCAATTGATAAATTGCCGACTGACGGGGAAAATGACAAAGACGAAGAGAGACCATTGGCAGCAGCAAATAAATTAGCGACACATTTGTCTACCACCGTCTCACGATGTTTCCGTGCTAATGAGACGCTATCTGGTAAATTAGGTTCCGTCTATCAAAGAAATACTATTTGGTGAAATGGTTGCTTCTTTGACAAGCAAACTATCTCTCGAAGAAAATTAAAACAGACACGTACATTCATGTACAAATGAACTAAGAAAGCGATGGCTTCTTTTCCAACCGATTCCACTTCTGCACACAGCGCAATATTCCAAATTAGTTGAGTACCAATCAAGTCTCCTTGTAAATATATTTGGGAAGGGAGATTCTAAAAAAATACGCGTAAATTTTCATGTAAATTTTTTCAAAGAGATAAGCAATTAATTTCACGAATCTGTAGATTTTTGTATTATTACCATTCGCAATCGATCATTTTTGTTATTAACCTTGAGTAGACAATTTTTCGCATATTTTAATGCCTGTTCAGAAAAGTATCTTACATCTAATTGAGGCAAGCGATTATGAAAGAAATGATTGATAAAATAGTTGTATTCTTCAATGGTTTCCAAACATTGAAAAGCCTCATCTCGCTCTGATACTCCAATTGGCTCGGCAATTAAACAATCCCAAATAATATCCGTTTGTTCGGTTGAAGTGAAAAACGAAACTGTTTCTGAATTTCCCATCCATTGAAGAAATTGCAGTCTTCCATGCAATTGATCCTTTATAATAACTGCTCGAGTTGGCGAAAGACCAACAAGTGGAGAGGCGGAACCAGATGGTGACATACGATCTAGAAATGAAACCAAAAAAAACGAATTAGTATATATGAAAATGAACATTTTGAATGTATTTCTATTACGATACATACCGATATCCATACTGATGGAACTGTTTCGTCTATCATATAGCGATTTTACGGTGTTTGTCCAATGAGTCAAGTCTTCCAAAAATAGGTTGGGTAAGCCAATTTGAAAGATTAAATGGCGTAAATAATCCATGGCGGTGCAAGTTGTAGTGGGAAATGGTGGTGCTTTTTTATTACGCATTTGAAGAAGTACATGCAAAGATTAATAAAAGGGGTAATATAAAAAAGATAAAAAAGAATAAATTCTTACTGATAATTCGCATGATAACACGAAGCGCCCATACTGTTGCAGGATGATGTGACTTCAAATCTTCAATACATTTTTCCAAAAATTCCTCTCGCTTTTCCTCATGTGGTCCATATTGTAATATATTATTCAATAATTGATTTACACCTTGAATAATATCTTGATCAATTAAAGACGAGGCTGAAGCGGTGGACGCAGCGGTGGGTGTAGTAGCTTCCGCATTCATAAGTAACGACAACGGCACCGAAGAATCGCGCAAAATACGCCATAATAACAGTTGAGCCTCATAAAATACTTGATTTACCTAAATACGATATATTCGATAGTTGTTAATAAAACATCGAAATTTTCCACGAATCAATTCATTTCTATCTACCTTTGAGTCTCTTATACTAATCGAAGAATGCGCAGTTTCCACCATAGAAAGTATTAATTGCTTAATTAAGAGATATGTTTGTGTGTCGTACAGACTCATTGGTAATACTTTAAGTTTCCTGAATAGATTTTCTCGGTGTTCTAAGCCAAGACGATCAGATATCTCGTTTAGAACATTAAAGACGCCATGGACGATGCTTTGATGTTGATTTCCTGCCACCGGCATCCATATCTTATCCAGATCTGTTGAATTCAATGCTTCAGCGTCTATGAGAAAAAGTAGAACATCTGTTGAACGCTGAACTATTTCCAAATGTATATTTGGACCAAATATATATTCTAATATTTCCTTTTCACGAAATCGGTTAACGAGAGATCTGTAAAGAAATCAATATAATTTAATTTAGTCTTTTTGAATAAAGAAATTGGCTGTTGCAAAAAATGTTTAAAAAATACCGAATAATTCTATCCGAAGAATTTTCGAGATTAAAGCTTCGTTTTCTAGAAGTGCTCTTTCGTTTGGTGCGTCTTAATTGCCTTGCATGTTTCAAGCCAAAGATCAAAAGGTCTTTAATCTCAGTTAGACCAGTCAATCGCAAATCAAGACGTGGAGCTCTTAATAATCTGCTTGCAACATCGAGTCTGAGAAAACAGCAAGTTAAAATCTGCTGCTCGTCAGGAAGATCTTGATAAAGCATAACTTCCGGATCCTCCTCGTCATCGTCTTCGTCTTCAGAGGAAATCATTGCATGATAGTTGGCTTCATCCCTTACAACTGATTGCACTTGTGAAGTTGACGGAACCATGGTTATTATGTGATGCACTATATGTATTATGTTGATGAAAAGCTTTTTGTCCTGACGATATAATGTCTCGTCGGGAATTCCTTTAATTTGTTTTTGAACTTGTAAGGCAACTTCAAATACACATTCGCGGAATTCCATGATATTGAAATTATTACTATGCACAAGATATTGAGTGAGCTGATTTTGATTTTAAATGACAATGGAATGAGTTAGTATAAAAGTTAAAGATATTTTATTAATTTTCTTGTGTCAAATACGTAATTATTTTTTGAAGTTTTACCTTATGAATTATTTTGACCAATCCATAAATATCTTTTAAATCGATATTGAAGCTATATGGTTCTGTTCCTTCTCGATTATTAACATTCCCATTCCCGAGAGCACGCATCATAGCGTGCATTCCTCCTTTTGCAATTAAGTGTTTAATGCTGTTGACTTGATATTGTGACATACGGGAATCTAACTATAAATCATGAATAAAAAAGCCAAGGTGTAAATATCATTTTTTCTCTTCCATCATAATTAGCTAACAAAAAATTCACCTGTTCAATCCCAACCATTTCACTATTATTATTATCTTCAAATTCATACATCTGTCGAGAAAAATATTTTCCGTAAATATACATTAATTTTTGAAGCAAATAAAACACATGATAAGATGTGCAATTTTACCCCGCTAGGACCAACTTCTGGTCTTCCAGAACTATCATTTCGACCATCAAAACGTCGATAAAACGCTGCATTCTCATCACCGATAATACGATAAACTACTTCCGACAGATGTTCTGATATTGGAAAGTCATCGTATTTTACGCCCATCATTTCTGGATCGTTCAAAATAAGGACTGTGATGTCCAATAGATTATTGAAAAATTCATGAATAGTATTGGCGAGATGATAGGATAAATCGGGATAACTAATTTAATTCATCATTATATAATAGTTTACAGTTGTTAATACTAAAACAAAAAATATGAATAGAAAATTTTGTAGCAAAAAATATTCAAACCTTCTAGAAAGAAGAACATTAGCGTATTTTGGTAGCCATTCTCTTTGTATCATGAAAAGGAATGCAGGAGAGGTAAAGTCATCAGGAGATTGTATAATAGCGTTTGTGTGCTCAACCAGCTTTTCGACAAACTTAATCGGATTCTGAGCTATAAATATTATTTTATTTGACAAAAATTATATTTAATAAAAAATTAATTTAAGTCAAACTCTCGTGAAATAAAATATAAATGCTAGGAAATAATCATACATTCTTTTAATTCCCTTAAACCTTCTTCCAAATTTGAGATAGATTGATTTTGCTTCGAAACACGTCGTCTAGCACTTGAAGACAATGATTGTGAATGCCTTCTTCGCTGACCAGGTTCATTATCATCATCATCTGCCTCATCCACTATACACTCTTCTTCGTCATCTGATGAACATTGCCGTTTCTCATATCGACCAGCTCCACGATGGGAATTATGTTGTTGTGGCTGAGTAGCTAAAGCAATACGTTTTTTCGGGTGAAGTTCATTATCTCGAAGAGGAACTTGAGTAATTTGCTTTGTAATTAAAGTTTCATCTTCTTGATCGATTTTGTCAAGTTCAAGTTCCTCTTCCTCTTCATCCTCCTCCTCTTCCTCCTCTTCTTCTTCCTCCTCTTCCTCGTCGTCGTCTTCAATTTCTTCAATCTCACCCTCTTCTTGTTCTTCACTGCTGGTCAAATCCCCGGCTTTGAACTCGGGTGTAACAGGACTCGGTTTCTGAATAATATCACCCCCCACAGACAACTCTTGCGCTTTTTCTGATAAATCCTGTGCAGTATGAGTTAAATCATGCTTCTCGAGTGGAATTGTGTCATTATCTGTTAACTTTGGTTCGTTAGAAATTTCCGCTGTCTCCTTAGAGACGTGCGTAATATTTTCTTCTGATTTGCACGATCCCCGGTCTACAGGTAGAATTTGCGACATTTTGCTAAAAGTTTAATTACTTTAGTCGAATTTTTCGTTATAGTAGTGAGATTTGTTACAACTAGCAACTCCTTGACCAATTATAGTAGTCTAGAGTACGAATGTCTCTCTCAGAATTACAAGAAAAACTGAACCAAGACCGGTCGAATGCGTGTGTAAAAGTAAAAATGCGTAATATATATATATATATATATATGGAGTGTATATATAGGATACAACTTTCTCAAGAAAAGTTGTGAACCTTTTCGAATATTAGGAAAGCAGACGAGTTCCGCGTGTTGAACCGCGTTGTGTGAGAACCTTTGGTTTAATATGTAACCACCACCACAAAGGGAGATTGATAGCTGGCGGCAGTATGAAAAATTATAAATACTAATTGACTTGAACCGAATGCCGGTTGGAAAGACGTTTTATCCGAATATTTCAAAATCTAGTCTATTGTGTGCGCATAAAAAGGAATTGTGGGCGCATAGTTGGAATTCTGCACGTATTCAGTGATTTATTAAGTCTTTTGTGTGCGGAAAACGTTGAACTATTATGAGCCTAAGAAATTGCTATCACAAATTATTTTTACTTTTCGTGAAAAACGTATTAAGCTTAAAATAGAAACAAAAGGTAGATATTATTTTGGGAATTTAGAATGAAGTTTCATTGTAAAGTTAACTTTCTATTTGTCGTCAAAGGAAGTCTGACAGCGAAATTTTTTAATTGTTTATATAGTTTTGATTAGATACCAATCTATTGCTTCACCAAAATTGTGTGAAGATTCTTCAGTTCCTTCCTATTTTTGGTGAGACTCGTAAATTGGTTTGTTATCACAATTAATTTTTCATTACTTTTAGACTTTCCAAGCAAGCCTAAAAAGGCAGATCGTGATCATCAACGTGACATGCTTTACCTATTAATATATTTCCAAGGATGAAAGTCACAATGCACAAGTTCCTCTTCGTGGTTTACACTCAGCTGATAGATAATAGAGAATAAATGTCAAGTTCACAATATAACCCACAAAATGTGGTTATGGCTGAACAAGAAATCGTAACGTATAAGTATTGCTTCAAAAAATGTATCTGACACGATAGCTTGGTGATTCAGTTGATCAATGTGCAACGAAAATGCATATGGCTCAAAAATCTCAGTTACAACAACAGTAAAAGTGAAATTTTGATTTGGAGAATAATATTATTTGTTAACTCGTAAAATAAAATATTTTATTATAAATTTTACGACTTCAATATTTTGTATATATTGTATATGTTATATATCTGATCTATAAATCAAATTCTAAATTTAGTTAATAGGATAAATTATAGAAATTATAAATTGTGACATTATCGAAGGTTGTTACAGTTTAGTATCTTGCCGAATATCTAATTGTAAATGCAAATTTCAATATGATATATTAGCATCGAATATGAAGAACAAATTAAAGTATGATAATTACCAGACAATACAGAGTTAACCTTCCGAGTGCCTAATCCTTCATTATTTGGCACATTAGACCCAATAGAATCACCTACATTAGAAGAACCAAGAGCTCGCGTTCTAACTGTATTAACGGATCTGGCTGAAGGGGTAGCAACAAGTCCAGACCTGCCAACAGGAGTTGAAGATGATGCTATTCCCCTTGAGGGTTCACCACCTTGTCGTTCCATCAAAAGATAATGCATTTGCATTCTTATTCCATGACACAAAGCTCTTAAACTTTGCACCTCCTCTTGCATCCTTAAACTTTCGGTCATGAGAGCTACATTTTGTCGCAACTCTAACTCGGCTAGATTATCCGTTATGGTGGTGATATCATTTTTTATCTGCTCATTCTCTGAAAGTAAAAGCTCTTGCGAATGTTCACTATCAATAATACTAGTGGTGGGCACTCTAGGATCGATAAAATGCGAAGGAAACATTACGGCTAGCCAATTAGATATCGTGGCAATTTGATCACGTAATGAACCTACAGTTAAATCGAGTTCTTGAACTTTAGTTCGAAGTTGAATATTCTCAGCCTCAAGACTTTCTGTACGTCTTTTATGCATTTCAAAGCAGTCTTTAAGAGGCTCGTATGGACATGAGGGATTATGTACCACTAATAAATCGGCATTACGACCGGTCCATGAGCACCCAAATTGCGAATGTGGGCATTGGGTTGGTTTCTCTGGACATTCCTCAAGATGAGCATCATTCTCTAAGAAAGGACGAGATGTATGACAGTACTGGCACTCTACACTTCGGGTTGGACATTTATCAGAGTGCTCCTATTATCAGAGATTAGTCTTAGGATTGGATAACAAATGTAAAGATCCGAAAATTTAAAACATACCTCAAAAGTAGCAAATGGCACCTTTTTTTTGCACATCTCACAATAAACCATTCGAGCCTGACAATTTGCCATGTGCGATGCCATGTCCTTTTTCAACACTAGCTCACGGCATTCGTCAATGTTACAATCAAGCTTTATATACTCGCACTGCTCTCTGAGATGGCTATTTATTAATTGTCTTTGACCAGTGTGCGAACATCCATCTTCGTTATTCGGGCAATATACCAATAATTCGTTTACCATGTTCGCAATTATTTTTGCAGCAGGTTTAAGAACAGCATTTTCTGAAATGGGAGAACGGTCAACCGGGCAGTTTGGTTTAGCCTTTATAGCTTGTGTTATGCAAGATCGACAAAAAGTGTGACTGGCAAGATATTATGGAGTAACCAAAAGTAAAATAATAGTATTTAAATGTCGAAGGTAAATAAATGACAGCACGATAGTTACCCGCAATTTTCTATTACAACTGGATCGAAAAAGGGTGTTTGACAAATGCAGCAAATGAGATTTGAGTTGACAGTCTCAACATAGTTTATAGAAAGAGTATTATCAGATACATCAAAGGCTTCCATAACGAGTCTTACACCCACGCGATGGTGATTATCCCCAAGGGATTTACTTATTTGTTCAAGTAAAGGATTAAGTCAACTCGGATAATTTTATAATTATCCGGATTGACTTAATACACATGATCCAGTGTTGTCGCTTGGACACAAATCCAGCAATTTGATTGGTTGGAACAAGCATCCCGACCAATCAAATTGCTGGATTTGCGTGGAGTTCTAGGTGCTTCATAATCTAATCAGAATTAAGTATTAACTATTTTATATGGAACATACTACAACAAAACCAAACAAAGTGAATATTTTGTTATATAATATAAATAAAAGATTACAACTATTGACTCATGCACAAATTATATAAATTATATTTTAAGTTTATATTATGCCAAAATGTAATTAACATTCAATCTTATTGAAATAAACTTTATTTGAAGTTATAACATGATTAATATAGAATTATTTCTATATAAAAAATATTAATATAAAATTAATTTATATTATTTTATCATAAAATCACAGTACTATTAGAAGTATTGTTACGATTACTTTAAATGAAGAGTTTCTTCACTATTAGTAAAAGAGTCATATGAGTTGGGAGAGAGAAATAGACTAATAAAATTGATCAGTGCAAAAATAAGTATCTAAGCCTGTGCCAATTTCAACAGAAATTGTT